CAACCTGCTCGTCAGGCACCAGCTGCAACACAACCATCACAACTATCAAGGTATACACCGGTTCAATTATACCTTATACCCCTTACATGCTTTTCAATATACACGTAAGCACTGGCGCATCAGGAGCCAGTATAAATATGTCCCGACAATTTAAATATAAACCAGTACTGCAGCTCATGACATGAAATTGTTCTGCATAGTGATTTGTATGATGTTCAGGGTTTACAAGATGTGTGAAAAGCTAAATCTAAATCTAAAAGCCTCATGTGATGATAATGAAGAATGTACTATGACCACATTATGCCACTGAAATTTTCTCTATATAGATTAAATCTAAACAATTAATTGTAGTGTCTATATCTAAATTTAAAAAATATCATGTTTCACGAACATATCCTATCTACTCATATAACAAAAATTCTCCAAAATAGATTTTCACGAAACTTTGGAAAGATAAATTATGTAACTTGGCCATTCTTTTTGAATCTTGTGATATCGCTTTCGAACTCTAAAAATAACAAAAGCAAACCCAAGATGTCTAATGATTCCTTAAACTTCTGCCTTTCATACTTTTTATAAAGATTGTTTAAATAGACTAGTGAAAATATAATTATTTTTATATATAATGTTTAACCTTATATATAAAAACTATAGTGTTTAATTTGTTACTTTCAGGTTTACCTTTCAAGGATCTTTATTCGAAGTCCCGCGAGCAGTTCCTGGTGAGTTCCGAGCTGGCGTTGCGCGCGCAGCTCACTGAGTTCCTCGACCACAAACTGGTCAAAATTAAAAGAACTTACGATGGTAGTGAAAATTATATCATACCTATTGAAAATTCATTATTACAGCAGTTTTTAGAAGAGCAAGATTAGACATAGTTTTTTATACTTTTAAATAATATAGCCGAAAACATAGAATTATGGAAAATTCGGATTTGGTCCTTTTCTTAATAAAGTTAAATTTGTTTTTATCAGATATGTGTATTTATAAACTATAATGAAAACTCCTTATTACTTTGCTTTTACTGCCTCATGAATAATTTCTATAAAATAACTGCTTTCAACTTTAAAAAATTAGAATTTTACTTAGCGAAATTACATAAAATGAAAAACAGCAATTTGAATGTTAAATATTTTCTGATTACCAAATTTTGAAAGGATTGGTTTTAATAAAACTATAAGATAAGGTTCAGTTTTTATTTTACAATCCCAGAAATAAAGTCTTAATAGGATTATATAATATATATCAACAGGCCAAGTTGTAAATTACTTAAACTTAATGACTTACATAATACAATAAAATTATTAACTAAAAATTCTCTTCAACATATCTGGCACATTCACCATTACGCTTCAAACGAACATCTCGTAACTACAATTGATACAATTAAGTGCATAAATTGCTCTTTTTAAGATTTAAATATATTGTAGAAAAATATTCTCTTAACTCATCAGACGCCAAGTATTTCATACAACACCGGTTTGTTTACGATCTTCCAACATGATAACATGATGAGCGGAATTATCGTTAGTGAGATTGCAATATCATTTTGATATTTGGATTTTTAACAAATTGCCTGAATTCATTATCTGTTATATAAAATTGACCTCTCTTGACCACCATCCAGGTTCTAATAACGTCCACGTCACTACTTAATTATACTTAAGTTTCATTGCGATTCACTTGTAAATTTTACAAAATGAAATTGTTTTTAATGTTGGTTAAAATTAATGTGATGTTTGTGTAATTTATTTAAATATTTCTATCTCTGTCTACCTCCGTAATGAGCAGTTACTTTTTTCAAGAATATATCTGTTGAAGTTGTGATTAATTTAAGAAAATTAGATATTTAAATTTTAGTGTTTATAAAAATATTTATATGTCAATAGTTAGATAATTTTTTCCTGTAAAATCAATATTTGTATTATCCTAACATTTATAAATATATGTGTAGTTTTACACGTTTTTTTTTGTTTTATTAAATAGCAAAGAAGTGCATTGCAATTGAAATAATATAAGACATCTTATCGATAACAAGTTGAAGTTTATCACAGACTTGTTGCCGTCTTTAAATTTTCCTAAATAATCTATGTTGAAAATTTACAAGTAGAATCTGGGACATTTAACATTAATGGTGCTCAGGAGTTAATATTATAAAATCAAACACAATAATATATACAAATCAATCAAAAGTGTGTAGTTCGCCTCTACTAATATTTTATTCTTTGCTTTTGTATTTTCATTTTGTACATAAATATGAAAATTGTCACGACATAGAATTTTATTTCATATTTAATATGTCTCAACCAGTCTAATCAGTTGGTCATATTAACATACAGGCGGAACACCCACATCGGAATATAATCGTCATGTGTTAAAAAGGCATCGGAATCATTAAAAAAAAATCATTTCACTTATAGCTAATCTTTTTTACTTTTAAGATTTGTCGAGAGCTAACCCTAAAATCCATGCACTTTCAATGATTAGACTAAAAATTAAGCATTTTCAATAGAATAAAAAATGATTATTACATAAACAATTTAATTGAAACATCAACTTGTCGGACAACAAACTACAGATTCCTCTCAGACGTGACTGGAATACTGGCTCCAATGGTCATACAGTGGACAGTGCAGTGATTGTCCGAGGTATGGAGCGCTGTACACTTACAAACTAGTAAGAAACTCCGCGTAAGGCAACTTTCAGTTTTCATCGTCGTCTTCATGTTTCCGCTTTTTACCTCGAGTGCTCTCCTCGTTGCTCTCCCGCGTGTTGCCGCCCTCTGCCGCAACAAGCATTCTCACATGACCATCATACACATATAGCTTATTTTAACATTACTCATGACTTAAACACCAAAAATATAGCCTATGTTACTCACAGATAAATTATGTTTCTAATGGTGAAAGAATATTTAAAATCGGTCCAGTAGTTTTTGAATTTATCCAATACATACAAAAATACAAATCCTTATAATATTAATATAGATTTAAAGCTTTCAAATTTTATTTACTCTTTAGTAAATTAATTGGGGATTGTCTAGAACAGGGAGTGTGAACTGATGTCATCTGGCATATTTTGGAAAATTCACTGACCTCAAATAAGCACAAGAAAAAATATGGAATTTATAAAATGGGGATATTACATCAGTGAATTATTCCTATACTATAGAATAATTCTAATGGAAAGGTCAAAATTATTTCATTTAACATTTCTTTAGCAAAATTATACATTGCTATGTAAAAGTTCACAATCCTTGATCTAGAAGTATCCATTGCCAATAATTGTACAAAAATCTTTTATCATCCCGTTATATCATTTAGTACAGTTGTTTCAGTAGAAAACAGCAATAGCTAAGTACATAATAATATTCTTACCCTGTGGTTTGGAGTTGTGCTCGCCGTTCGCATCATTTTCCTCATCACCTTCTTCATAATCATCATAGTCGTCATCCAAATATCCTTCGGCTTCATACAGTGGACTCGCTGAACTCTCCTCTTCTACAAGTTAAAATAAGTTATTGAATTGACATTTAGTAATCCCTTAAGAATATTTTCTCGTGAATACACTAAATTAGCCAGGCTGCGAGTTATCCAATTTATGTTATTTCTATTGTAAAGATGTGATTATAAACTTACTAGCTTTCATCGTGAAATTAAAAAAAAAAAAAAGCCTACATGTTCTTCCAGACTACCCTCTACATCTATACCAAATTTCACATCAATTCAGCCATTTAGGCTTCAAACTCTAACAAACATCCACTTATCTAAACTTTCACATTTATAATAGCATGAAGTTATAATTAACAACTAACCAAGGTTTTCATTGTAAACTTCTGAAAGTGATAACTCATCATCCTCATCTTCAACTTCTTCATCGGAATCTGTAACAATTATGATATATTAAATGCCAGAAATATAATATTTTGACTAATGTATATTTTGCAGATTTTTACAATCATATTCGCAAAAAAAGTTTGATGGCTTCTAGGGCCATGTTGCATTTAAATGTTTAGTAATATTTTATGGAAATGAGAAAATATATCTACACATATCTATGGAATTACTTTTGGAATGTTAGAGCATTTAAAATATTGATACAAACATGTGTACTTTACCAAGTCTATGATCACAGCATTGCAACAGTAAATTGTTTGTTTAGGTCCGTGTGTTATAATTTCTCATTTTTATTACTCATGCAATTTAAAGATTCTTATAGGATCCTTATAAGAATTTATTCTTTTCATTGCTTCAGTTTATATTCAGTAACAGTTTAGGCCATCAAACAAGAAGGGGCAAAAGGGTCATAGATATAGTGCTGAGATACTAAAATAATTTTGTAAACTTCACATTGACATAATGTCACCAATAATTCTAACAAAAACAATTTTATAGACATCACAAACTACCCAAGCCAATGAATTATGGGATAAATTGTTCAATGGTATATTTTTGTATGAAAGCAACAGTGAAAGCAAATTATCGAGGGTACCATATCAAGCATTATTTAAACAATGAATTAAATTATTACTAGCCATGGTTCGCGACTTCGTCCGCGTAAAATTAAAAAATACCCTTATGTTACAGATAAATTACTTTTCTAATAGTGAAACAATTTTTAAAATCGTAATAGTTTTTGAGTTATTTCAATTTTAAAATTAAGGTGAATTGATTTTGGTTATTATTCTTTTATAAAAACAGCAGTTAACATGTTAAAGTTATTTTAACTATAAATTTCTATCTGCTGTAGTTAAATAACATTTACAAATACTATTAATAAATGTTCTATGAAATAAATAGTTTTGATTTGGCACACTCAATGTCATCCTTTACACCTTTCTAATCACTATTCATTGAATTTGCTTTCTTTAATAAAACAGTAAAGCATCACTGATTTAAAATAGGATGCTTACATTTTAATAGGTAACCCATGTGGAATATGAGACCATAAACAGAATATATTGACATTAGTAGGGACGGTTTTGTCTCTGTCTACCCTTCTGACAAGGAATCATCGTCAATGATCAATGGACCCAAATCTATATCCACATCTGCAACCCAATAAAGTTTACATAAACACTACTTTCGATAATATTACTATGAATTTCCACCAACAAAAAAATCTACAAAACACTGGCATCCCTGTCTTTTCTAGGAAGACTAATGTAGTCAGAACTAGTGTAGACAGTCTTGTCCATCTTTTGTCAGTGAAAATTCACAGAATTTAAATTGTTTGTACTTTAAGATATACTAACCATCTTCTTCACTGTCATTGTTTCCGTTCTCTTCGTAACTATCACCGCTAAAGGCATCACTATCTTCAGCCTCTTTATCATCTTTGTCATATCTACAAAAGAAAAAAAAGGGTGTAATGATAGATATGTTATTTATTTAGTAAAGCATCTCTTTTGAAAAATTTGATAAGAAATAATTAAGTAAAGTTTACTTCAGCAGATATCAATATCTGTAAATTTTGTCACTGAGGTATATGTTAATGAAAAAAAATATATTACCCATCTAAATATTTCAATGATGGACGTAAAGCAAACACTTTTGTCCTATAATCTTCAATATTAGTTACTTCATTGTTGAACAAGTCCAAGTTTTTCAGTTTTTCAAATGCTTCTAGTGGTTTCAAAGTTAGCAAATCCCTGATTTTATTACCAGAAAGATTTAGATAAGTCAACTTTTTACATCCATGTAGAAAATTCAGTCCATTTGATATTCTGTTATCTGAGAGCTCTAGCTTCCATAGCTTTGGAAGTGATGGAAAACCTTTCAAAGTTGTAAGTCCCGAGTTATTAAGACTGAGTATTTTTAGATTTATATATTCGTCTGTTAGCCCTACAATTGCAGTGCTTCTACAATTATCCAAGTTTAACTCCTTGACCTGTAAAGATAATATGAAAAATAGTTAAGGTTTTTTTGATTAAAATAAAATAAAAACCCAACAACAGTTTTAATCATCATGATCATCATCAGCCTGTATTAGGCTATTGTTATAGACAGGGTGTCCCTAATGCCTTGCTAAGTAGGTAAATTCATTGTACAAACTTTCATTAAATTATTCATGGTTACTTAGGGTCAATCTAAAAAATATTATAAGTATTTATGCACCAATTACTGTGATTTTTTATTATTTTAAAGTGGTGTTGTGTGATTTTTTTAGCATTTTTAAACTGGTAACCCTAGTCTGTTATTAGGTTACGTCAATTGTACATAATAAATAATATACGATAAAAATGGTTAAGTTAAACGCTACGAAAATTAACTGATGATTTTTTCACTTCTAGAACTAATATTAACACTTGATAGGCTAGAATTTTTAAGTAATAAGTACTACAACTGGCCTATCGTCACATTTTTAGAAGTCAAGCCAACCAAAACGTCAAAATGGTGTGAGTTGTCAAAGATCCATATTGTCGTAGTTTGTAAAATCCTACAAACAAGTGATTAAATTGGCTAATATCAAACGGGAATATAAAATGGATGTGAATATGTAACCGTTTGTTTTATCAAAAAGTAATGCGGTGTTCTAGTTGTCGCTAAAATTAGATAAATTTTCAATTTGCAATGGCGGATGACACGAATCATCACGACGCAATAAAAATGGCCGCTGTATTGGTAAGGCGTGCGTTTACAAAATGCAAGTAAATTTTGTTGCTACGTGAATAACACTTTCGATTTAAACATAAACAAACTAAGCAAAATTACCACATAATCTCTTTCGAGTCTTGATTTCATGTCGCGTCGTTTTAATAGAAAAAAATGGAGATAGGTGAAAGGGCGCGAAATTATGTCGAGTAGTTATATAGTTAAATCACTAGGCAAAAATAATGTAATGCTATTGATAAATATGTATTTTATTGCAATGATCATTTAAGACAACCACGGTGAAAATATTCTTAGTTAAAATGGGTAAATTAAAGTGCACACGATGATTCTAGCAATGCAAAATTGAAAAGTAATCAGATGGATGATCGATTAAAATTATGTAAATTGCACAAGGTATTAAATGTAGATGCTACGCTAAAACTTGTTGGTACTTGCCGTCGTTTTGTTTGCTTTTCAGCTGTACTTATTACGTCTAGAGCGTTTCAATACTTAACCTCAAATTGAACATTATTTTAAATGGAAATTTCTAAGGATTTAGGATTTTTGTGCATTGCAAATTATTTTTCAATATGTAGGAAAACTATTGAAAGAGCAATATTTATCTTAAGTAAAATCTTTGTAACATTAGAACGTGGACATGTATGAGACGTAACAATCGGTAATAGCTATCGTTATAAACAATAACGCCACATCTAAAAAGACCATCGGTCTGTTATAAGGCTAAATTCAGGTTTTAAATACAAAAGGCCGATTATTTATTTAGAGTTATCACGTTTTTTTGATTCTAGCACTTAGATGCCTGACGAAATACGTATCGACAAAACATTCCGATATAACGTAGTGTAGATCTATTTACCTGCGAGGGATTTTTTCCCCTAAGCTCCAAAAGAATCCTTTTTTCCATCTTTGCAAATCTGGAGTTTTACACAATTAGCACTATCGGATCACTTATTACATTACCAAAAGAACTAAATCACTAAGCTTGCTTGGGTTTCAAAACAGAAGGAAACTATACATACACATTACACACGAGTGACGTTGTACTAGAGGCGCCGCCTGGTGGCCGTTTAACGAGGCCGGATACGACGCTGTTGAGCAATTTATTAAAAACGAACTTAAAACAAAGGTATAAAATAATAAGATAATCATTGTTTCCCTTTTTATAAGTATTATAATATAATTATGTAATTAGTAAAGTCACGAAAACGTTTGATTTTTATTTATTGTTTAATAAAGTACACTGGAAATGTTGGCAGTTTTGACAGGTATTGTAACGTTGCTGCCTTGATTAACAAAAGGCGCGGATTTTGAAAAAGTGTTTATTGGTGTACTAATGAATTTGATAATATAAATATTGAATATTTTTAATAATTCATTTCTATAATAGTAGTGTCATACTAATTTTATTATGATCTCTAAAATAATTTACAAATAGGATATAAAATATGTTTGTTGTATTTTGTGTGTATAATTTTTTCATTAATGCAATTGAATTATACATGTATTTTAATCTTAATTTGTAAAATAATATGATAGTTTAGTCATATAAAGTATTGCCCCTTAACTGTGTAAACCTAAATAATCAATTCAAAGAAATTATAGAAGGAAGGGGCAGGACTGATTGTGTCTAACTGTTTTTTATTGTTAATAGAAACTGTAAAATGATAAAAGAGCACCACAGATTCCTTGAGCCAAGTTCAACCAACAATCGATTCTGTTCTCCGAAATAATAAAAAAAATATATCAAGATGTAGTTCTTCAACTTCAATTTGTATCCAGTACTCAAAATGAGGATGAGGCAAAACATAAGAACTGATTATTTTTCATATGTTTTGTCTCCCTCTTGTCATCATTTGTCTTAGATATTTTATATGTTATGTTATATGTTATCTCTGTTATTATTTACTAACCTAGATATCTCGAGGATGTACAAATTGTTGCAATTACTATTGTAATGCTAATATATTTATTATGTAAATATTATTTTCATTTGACTTTAATATTAATAATAATATCCATGACATGGCAACTTATTGTTTTTTTTTCAGGTTCAATTTTAACCATGTGACATAAATTTGAGGTTACCTTTAGTACTGCCCTATTATTGTTTAGAGTGAAATTGTAATTTGGTATTACATTGTTAACGTTCTATCTTCTATTTCAAATAAATCGCAGTTTTGGTCATATACGTAGTTTTATTTTTCATTGAAATGATGCTGTTTGTTTTTTTTACGAGTAAGATGAAAATACGTCAGAGGACGGCGGGAATTCGCTGCATGCGATACAAGCAGTCTCTGTCAGTGATGGACAATGTATGATGATGACGACGACGACGACGTTGATGATGATGATGATGATTATGATGATGATGATGATGGTGATGATGATGATGATGATGATGGTGGTGGTGATGATGAAGATGATTATGATTGTTAATTCTATCTTACTTTAAGAGGGAATGTTTCAAACTGTCTTAGTTTTTCTGGGTTTTTTATCAACAAATCAGCATTTATGATGGCAATTACCTTGTTATTAATATTTAGATAATTGAGAAGACCATTTATTTCTTTAATGACATAAATCAGTATAAAATAATTTAGCAATAAACTTTAACACCGTTATAACTGAGGTGCGATAATTTGTTATGGTAGATATTTTATCGTTAAAAATAAAGGTAAGTAATATGAAGTGTCGTTAAACAAAGAGATGAACGTGTAGCGGTGACAAGTGAGATGGTAGGTAGGGGAGGTGCGGTCTTGTGGCCTGGCGGTGGCGGTGAGGTGCGCGCGCAGCTCGGCTCGCTGCCCGGCGGAACGCAACAGTGTGCTCGCAGCCTTGCCACTAACCGACGGTACCATGACGAATGGTAAGCACTCACCATAATACCTTTCGTCATCACATACCACACGACCATCGTGACAGACTGACAACCGTATTACCGCAGTTTCAGTGATAGCGCATCATTTTCATTAATTATTTACACTCATACGTTCGTACGGACTGTTTCGGGTTTTAACGCGCTTTATTTTATACAATATTTTTTTAAAAATATAAATTATTTTTTAAACTGATTTTTAATGGTCTATAATATGTAACAATAAGTTAATGATCATTGCCATACATCCGCGTATAAATTGTTTTTACATCAAAGTTCACGTAATTTTAAGAAATGTTTGTGTGAAACAAAGTGGTAATATTGGCGATATTTAAGGTGAGTATTGATAGAGTATTTTTTTTATAATACAAATAAGTTTAAGACCATAACTTCAAGGGAAAACCAAGTAAAGTGTGAAGTAATATAAATTTAAAAGTATCTGTATTTAAAAAAATCGTGTAATTTATTTTTATTTACACAGTTACCTGTTTTTCTACTTTTTATTAATGAAAATAACTTTTTTAAAAAATTTAAAAGTAAGTGCATAGATTAAACAAATTTATTTTTAAACTTTTTGAAAAAGCTCTGTTTGCAATCTAATGCAAAAAAAAATTTAATAAAATCTCATAATTCCTCACGTAATAACCGTAAACTGCAAGTTAGCAAAGTTCTTGAGCTTTTAAGCAGATTTTTTTTGATTAATGGTGTACTCCTTGACACGGTCTGGTTTCGCTTGACGTGTGCTGAAATGCGCCTGGAGAAATTCTCACTTGACTTTAAAGGGTCCTTTTAAGATTAATTATATATTTCAAAATTTGTTCTTTGTTATGTTATTACAAAGTAGGGCGATTCTTGTGCATTAACTATGTTTCATTATCTTCGTTTTGTTCTATTTTATAGGTAAATCTATTAAATTAGCAAAGCTAGTTAGTTTAGGTCAAGAAAAACTAAAAAGTTAAGTTATACATAGCTTTACCGGATACCATATCCATTGGATTATATAAAAAACGTACGTGTATGTCCTTTTTTTTAAAGTTACACTTCTCGTCTCCAAGATGCCTGTTAATTCGAGCTGTGTTTTGTAGTTTCGTAAACTTAAAGCTAATTTTGAGGTGAAATAGATTGATTATTTTCCTTTCATTAGCTGCAAATGTCAATGTATACAGAAGGTATCGCGAGGTGTATCAAAGTTTACAAATTCTGTAAACAGCTAATGCATAACAGATCTTTGAGTTCTATCTTTAGATACTAATTTTGAAACTTCCTGATGCAATAACTACAGAACATAGTCACAATAAACAATGTAACATTGTGCATGACAGATTAGACAAGGGAACTATAACTGTTGAAATTTGGGCACATTTAGAGAATTCTGTAAACATGCAAGTATATAAACTTGTAATTTTAAGGCTCATCACAATGACGTTTGAATACGACTGTTTGAGGTGTTAAATTATTTACGCTGGGCTCTGCCCACGCTGCTCACTGCCGAAATTATAGTCCGTAGAGATTTTTGTAATTTTGTTTTGATTACAAAGACGGCCGGCGTATCTTGAATTTCTCAAAGCATCCCTCAAGTTTTACGATTTATTAATTAAACGAGATGAAATTGCGTTTAAGGTTTAAGATATCATCTTCTTAATCTAATAAATTGCGTAACAATTACTTTATAAATAATGTTTGCTGAAGGAAAATGGAATTTACTTCTTTTAGTGATATAGATTAAGTTATTAGTGCTCCAGTGTTTAGACAAACCTTTTTTTTTATATTTACTTACTTATTTAACAAATATATTACTAAAATATTATTTGTTGTCGTATCTAAAAGAACAACAAAGCACCGACCCCTATACGCTAATTATGTAATTGCAAAATATATGCTACAATGTAAGTACATTAATTAATTACACTTAAAATAGTAAATGTACAAATTGTATTTGTATTATTAAGGCCCCAGCTCGGGTATAACGAGCCAATTAGCGTCCCCGAAGACGCCAACTTAAGGATTACGTTACGCTCGCACACACGAGGGTTTCGCAGAATTCATATTTGATAATCAAAATTATAGACTTTGTTTAGCTTTTATTTAATAAAAAAAATACCACAAAACATTTCAAATAGACGCTAATTAGAGATAGGATCAAAATTGTGCAATATTGTTCTTTCTATTAGCTATTGCTCGCGATTTCGTCCGCGTGAAAAAAAAAATGAAAAAACAACATACCTTATGTTAGTCAGTGAAAACGTAGCTTTTAAATGTTGAAAGTATTTTGGAAATCGGCCGAGTAGTTTTTGAGTTATATCAATACATACAAAAACACAAATCGTTCCTCTTTTATAATATTAGTATAGTATACTTTTTATTTTGTAAAAGTATACATATGCATGTATACTTTTACTTAAATATATACTTTTACTTATACTTATGCTTAAACATGTTCATATACCAAAAATAGCATTATTAAAATTCTATTTCCACCAGGCTGCACGGCATGCATAATATACAATTTTTAAATTGGAATTTTTATTATAATTCGTTACCCCAATGCACACATCCTGTCTGGTTGAAATTACGTGCTGTAGGGAATTTGTGTAATTTAATTTTGATAACAGCGGCGAACACAAGTACTGAGAGTTACAAAGGAACGCCTGAACTGAGTGTTTTTTTTATTATTTACTTGGAATTACTTTTCATTACTTAAAACGATTTACATTAAAATTGTTTTTTTACTGAAGTGCGAATTTGTTTTAATCGGAAACTTCCAGTAGAATGAAATCATTTCATTTAGTTCACATATCCAATTTAAATCGAGACTTCTAAAAGTACTTAAAGACTGAATTACCAATTAACGAACTAATTAGCTGGATCTAACGCGGTTGTTAAGGGACTAAGCAGATTAGATTGAATCTACTTGTTGGAAATTCAAAGATAATTGATATTCGCTCAATGGAATTTCTAATTTTCTGTCACATTTTATATACTTAACGTATTTTGTATTTTGATTTTCAAATTTATGTTACTGCCTTGTGATCGTGTCAATATCGTAAAATTTGCTTTAAATAAGGATGAAATTGAAAAACTAGTTACAGCGTATTTATTAATAAGAATTATATTTTAAAATGACAGAGAAAATCAACAAAATACATTGTTTACTGTCCCATGTATATTTATCATATGTTTCCGAGTACGATCATTCTGTGATATATTCGGATACGCGTTGAAAATTACGTTTGAGTAGACATTTATCCAATATCATTTTGATTATGGAAGCGCACCGGAGCGTTCGGATTGCTCCGACCATTTCGCAGCATTATTATTCGACAGGGGATTTGCATATTTAACGTTGTAAGGATCTAAGCTTTTTTATAACAGAGATATTGCATATTAAATGTTTGTTTAATATCTAGTAAGAAAACGAAGCAAGGATATGTATACACATATAAGTCACTAGCTTTCGCACTTGACTCTATCCGCGCGAAATTAAATTAACTATAAATCAGTATATCTGATAAATGTAAAAAAACGTAAAATCGATACAAATTTACAGCGTTATGTACACATCTACATATCTAAATATACGGTAGGTTCAATAAAGTTTCCCTTACAGAAAATTGGGCATCCTTATTGAATCCGTTTGAAATTGGGGAGAGGGATAAAGTTATAAATGGGTTCCTGAATACGTAAAGGTTGCCGATAGACTGAATACATTGATAAAGTACCACGGATTTTTTACATCCGAAGCGTAACATAAACATTTATTACATTGTAAAAGCCTACATACAAAAAATAAACCTACAAACCCGCGAAAAACATAAATCTTTTGTCAGTTGTTAATAAGAAAATTAGTAAAACTGTAATATATTTTATAATATTACGTTATACACAAATAGGAATAATATTCAAAGACATTTCATACATTTTTTAATCCAATATTCCTATCGTAACAGCCACATATTTTATAGGTTACAAAAACCACTTAAAACATTCACATTTCATTTAACCGTACATAGCTGAATATTTTAGTAGCCACTTATAAATACTATGAGTTCTTACCTTATAATTATTTCAATTTCTTACTAAATAACGGAGTACACGGAAAGGGCGCGGTTAAGTGGGTAAATGGTAGGAAAGAGGTCAATTTCATTGTTTTAAAAAACCAAGTTACTTTATAAAACAACCACATGACGTATTTACTCTAAATTATTCCTTATTTGCCTAATTTTTATCGTTATCTGTGATTTGTACGATTTTTATCTAATTCTCATCCCTTTTTAATGTTGAATATATTGTGATCTAAAGGCAGTAAATGTAAAAAGTAATGTAAAGTTGGAAAAGGTAAAGAAAATAAATCTGGGCCGTGTATCAACAGAGGTGCTCATGTATCTTGAGATATAGCGCGCGTCTTGGCGCCATTTCTCACACGCTCAAGTGAGCTCGCGTGAGTTCCTGCAACAAATGTTACTACTCCTACCACTATGCCACGACATTCGTTGCACGTATTTTTATTATTTTATTTATATATCTTACCATACATTGAAATAGTAATTTTTCATTTACAAGCTTTAACAGGCGTGAAATTAAGGAAAAAAAGCCTATGGGTTTTTCCAGACTCTACATTTATGCCAAATTTTATCGAGATCCTATCAGCAGTTTAGGTCAAATCTATATCATCCATCTATACATCTAAACTTTCGAATTTATAATATTAGTAAGATCACTTATTGGGATACGATGAACGAAAAATATATATGTTTCATGGAATTTTGCTGTAAGCGGCCACCTTACAAAGTATGACTAGAATATCCTAATAACGAGAGTTTATTAGGAATGCCAATCACCAAAAAGTGTTATTTAAGTGATAGAAAATACGGAAATACAATAGTCCTAGATATAAAATAAAAAGAAAATGTCGTAATCCTATGCGGAGTGTACTAATTTTTATATCACCATATAAGTAGAAAAAGAAATTAACTAACTATTTGTTAACAATA